CCCCTTCTCCCTCATTAATACCCCCACACATAAAATAATTAAAATAAAACACTCCCCCTTCCCCGTATTAACCCCCCACACACAAAATAATAATACAAACCCCTCCCCGTGAGCCCCCTCACCTATTGTTCACAGCTTTGGAGGGGGGAGACTTGAGGAGGATCGATCCCCGGTTATCCGGAGGTGATTAGTGAGGTCTGCAGACCTCACTAATACATCCCTGCTTTCGGCCGGAGCTAAGAACTGTCAGAGCTCCGGCCGAAGGAAGCCGGAGCCGACAGGGGCAGCTCTGCGGTCTGCATCTGAAACAGATGCAGATTGTTGAGCTTCTCCCGCAAGTCAGGTACGCGGTCTGTGACTGTGATCGCGTGCCTGACATGTCAGCTGGCTGCGGGCCACATAGTAACTCTGGAATCCCATCGAGTGTTAGGATCGAGAGGATATACAGCTCCGGTTTCTACCTGACGAGACAAACGGCTTATAAAATCAGAGATCTGGTGAGTGCATTCCCTTAAGGGCATTTCTTTGGATTTTCGTTTGGGCACATCACAGAATTGAAAAACATACCCGATTTCATTGTTGGAAGTTTTTTTGGAAGATAAAAGACATTGAGAACTTTTTAGTTTTGATGTTTGTCCTCTTTATTGATTTTTTTCTGTATTCATCTGAGAAGTTTTAAGATTGGAAAAAAACACGGACTTGCTATGGCGATTCCCATCATGTACACATTTTTCGATTTGTATTATATATTTATATATATTTTTCAGCCTGTGCAAATAGAAGTTTCACTTTGGGTGTTTTTTGGCTAGATAAGAGAGATCTAAAGGGAATTCCTTCTCTTTTTCTGGCATTAATTCGTATTCACACATTGTATACACTAGGTTGCTAATTTGTGACTGATGTGGTATCTTTGCAACATTGTTTCACTGATAAATTTTTTCATAGCACCTTTGCTGCTAATGCAGCAGTCAGTTTTGACACATTGTCCCCTAGAGTGTTTGTACACACACCTTTGATTAATATCAGTTTATATATGCTGTTTTTTTATTTGGCATTTAACATATACACTTTATTCACTTAGATGTGATTGACACTTTTAACTTTATTCTCTTTATGAATGCTTTTCACTGATGTTACACTAATTGAGCTTTGTGGATCTATAACCGAAAGGCTTCTAGAGCTGTACTATATATCCTTTTAACTCTTGGGGCTTATTGCCTGAGTCCAGCAGCTTTTCGCTTTTTTCGGTCTTATAGAAATTACTAATTAGTAGGATTTTTGGGGTCATTTGTTTTGTGTTTGTTTTTATTTTATTTAATTGACATATTCATTTACTGGCGGTTTTCCATCAGCGCAGATCTCTATCTACCATCTATTTGTGTACAGTTGGTAGGTGTGTGGTCTTTTGTGTGCCTGAATATTTGAGGTGGGTGTGTGTTTCAGAGTCTGTATGTGTGCTGTAACTGAATGTGTGGTCTCTCTGTGAACCGTCCAGTACTACTGAAAGGAAACTAGAGGTGCACTTTTTTCAGGGCTGGACAAATCCTGGAAGCCAGGTAGCCAATGCTCCTTAAAAATAACAGCTGGTGCCTAACTTTTGAGGTTGTCTCTAGTTGTCAGTGGAGTCGGCTCCTAAAAAATATCCTGATGGCTTCTAGATTGGACATACTGGCTTCTGAATTCCATATTAATTTGTCCACCCCTGGTTTCTGCAATGAAGAGCTGGAACAGAGGTTATATGACAGGATAATGGAGCATGCTTTTCACATTATCCTGGTGTCCCTGCTGGATTTTTCCCTTGTGTCTAGTTTCTGTGCCTGATTTTCCCCTCTGTCCCAGGTGCTAAGCCGTCAGCCTAGGGGGATTCACAGGGCAGCAGCCAGTCTTCTCACTTCCTCCCCTATTTAGGTTCATCTCACTTGTTGATCTGGATTCGATCAATGAGTCTTTATCCTCCTGCTGGACGCCCTGTGTTCCTAGTGATCCCTGTGTTGATTATTTCCTGCATTGTTGTCAGTGGTGTATTTTGGTTTGGGGCTGCCCTAGGCAAGCCGAAACTTAGGCACCCCCCCCCCACA